TCACTCACAATTGCCGGGCCGCTAATGGCGGGCCGGTGGTCAGTGAGTGGTCAGGACAGGCCCACGGCACCTCACGACCCACACATCGATGGAGGTAAATCTTCCCCGGTCGGAGAAATTGTTTACTGGTCCGGCAAATGTGAGAGCTTAATTCTGACAGATTTACGCGCATGCTCGCTCGAGCGCACTTCCGTTTTGGGAAATGTTTTGAGCCGATGAGTTATCGAGAGGCGCCGCCCCTGGGTGACATACAAGGCCCTGCTCCATTAAGCTTTGCCACGGTAAGCGCTGCTGAAGTGTGAGTGGGGGAGAGTTTCGGCCCGGGGGTGGGGGAGCTGCACTAAACAAGACACGTCCGACCCAAATAGTCACATCCTTTCAGATTTTGATCTCCACAAGAGGCGGCCGTCCGGGAAGTAAGAAAATGAGATCTAACAACGTTAGGAAAATTATTTTCAAACGACAGTTTGGTTGCTGGATTACTTTCTGTATTAGTTCGATTTTTTTTTTGGTTCTTTATGGGGAAACAGGGGATGGGGTGGGGCGGGGGTCTAGAAATGGAATACACAGCAGAACAAATGGTAGGCTGTTAGATTAAAATGAAGAGGGAATTCGATATGTGATAGATTGGGACTGGTTGCTTGCTAGACTTAGATTGGAAATGTCGGGTCAGCGTCCAACTGTTCTCATGCTGGATGTGACTATGGTGTCTGATGTTGGATGTTGGATATAACCTCCGTGTCTGATGTTGGATGTGACAACGGTGTCTGATGTTGGGTGTGACTACGGTGTCGGATGTTGGATGTTGGATATAACCTCCGTGTCTGATGTTGGATGTGACTACGGTGTCTGATGTTGGATGTGACTACGGTGTCCGATGTTGGATGTTGGATATAACCTCCGTGTCTCATGTTGGATGTTGGATATAACCTCCGTGTCTGATGTTGGATGTGACAACGGTGTCTGATGTTCGTTGTTGGATATAACTTACCTGTCTCATTCTAGATATGACTTTTATTATATGGAATGTGGCGTCGTATCGTGTGAAAAATGTCTCATATCTCATGTTTGACGAAATCGTGTCAGATGTTGGATGAGACCTCCCTGTCTGATGTTGGATGAGACCTCCCCGTCTGTGTTGGATGAGACCTCCCTGACTGATGTTGGATGAGACCTCCCCGTCTGTGTTGGATGAGACCTCCCTATCTGTGTTGGATGAGACCTCCCCGTCTGTGTTGGATGAGACCTCCCTATCTGTGTTGGATGAGACCTCCATGTCTGATGTTGGATGAGACCTCCCTGTCTGATGTTGGATGAGACCTCCATGTCTGATGTTGGATGAGACCTCCATGTCTGATGTTGGATGAGACCTCCATGTCTGATGTTGGATGAGATCTGTCTGATGTTGGATGAGACCTCCATGTCTGATGTTGGATGAGACCTCCATGTCTGATGTTGGATGAGACCTCCATGTCTGATGTTGGATGAGACCTCCATGTCTGATGTTGGATGAGACCTCCCTGTCTGATGTTGGATGAGACCTCCGTGTCAGATGTTGGATGAGACCTCCGTGTCAGATGTTGGACACAAGCACGTGATGTGATGTACTCACCGCCATGCGTGAAATTAAAAACCGTTAACCAACAAAACAATTTGCCGCACAGTGAAGCGCTCACGTGACCTCATGAGCCGGCCGTGAAATCTGAACTTTTTCCCCCGCTTAAAGTAAAACCAACAAATCCGGGTTTAGGGGTGGGGAGGATTGGGGGGGGGGGGTAGTACAATCTTTGTGAAGTGTCTTAGGGGTAGGGGTGGGGGTGTAGTACAATCATTGTGAAGTATCTTGTGGCCGTGGGGAGGACGGGGTGAGGTGGGGGTGGGGGTGTAGTACGACCATTGTGAAGTGTCTTGTAGCCGAAGCTCGGAAATAAAGAGCGAGCATTCGTCGTTCAGTCATTCACACGCACGTGAGCAAATGTTTGGGTCCCAGTCACAAATCAAGGCAAGCTTCCGGTTTCTGCCCCGGCACGACATGCGCACTGAATGGGAATTGTTGCCAGGATCTCCCAGAGTTAGCAGGGGCAGACAACTCAAGCAGCGCTTTGGTTCTACGAGTGCATATTTTTAATTAACATAATCGCTATAGATCTTTCATTCAGAGTGCCCCAAATATTTTTGTCTCGGTCACATTTCTCGTGTTTTATTAAAAAAAAAAACCTTTACCCCAGTTAAAACAACATCAAATCTAGAGCCTGGGTGTAGTAGGGTCATTTACACAAGCACCCAGCTGAAAACATCAACACAAGACACCCAACAACACGGACACGATAGAACAATTTTTTATGTCTTCTAAAAATATTGTTGTTAATGCCGCGCCGAGATTCTCCCAGCTAATGGACTCGAAAACATCAACAAAGTCACGTGAACCTGGCTAATTTGCATACACGCACGCGCGTAGAGATGTGGGTGAGCAGAATTCACCGCGGTTATTTTGGTGGATGTTTTTGTTTTTCTATGCAAATGTCACTTGGTCACGTGGTGTGTGGGTGGTGTCACGTGTGGAGGGACTGAGGCGTTAGTGTGTTGATGTACCTGAGCCGCCTTCACGCCTGTGTTACACACCTTCACATGTACTCATTTTCTGTTTACAGCGCACTAACTGTTGACATGGACCAACTGTCAGCATGTTAACTCAAAGTGCCATTCTACCCTGGTAAATCCACCCGAAAAACAAAAATAGATCCCTAATAACAAAAATTTACCTAATCAACTAGTACAATCTTTTTAAGTTGTATGAATAGGTGTGTGTGTGTTTGTGTGTGTATATGTGTGTTTGTGTGTGTTTAGGCGTGTCTGTGTGCTAACACAAAGTCAACAAACAGTTTGTTCAGCACCTTGTGGTTTAAAAAATCATTGTTCGTAATCGGCTTTTACACATTGCTCTTCAACATCATTATTCAATCGGCCTAGCAATACTCAAGTTCGTAAAATAGTTGTAATCGGCCTTCACACTTCCCAGCTCTGAAATTGCTGTCCAGTTATTGTTAGTGTTAAGTCAGTTGTAAGGTCACTGTTAGGGTTAGTTTCTCCATCCAAACATGAGTTCAGATTCAAGTTTTGAAAAGTAACACCCAAAGCACACATCGTTATGATAGCTCTCTTTTGTGTGTGTTGACAGAGAATATCCCATGTTTTCGTTCCCACTGTCGTGGCCAAATACGGGACATAATCCGCGCTCCTATCTGGCCAGCAAACATGCTGCTCTCCCTTCCCAGCTCCCAAAACTCTGATTATTAGCTCAAAGAATTGTCCCACAGGTGAAGATTTGAAAATTCCCCGCAAGTGTCCCCGTCCCGTCAACCCGGTGATTACAGGGCGAGCTCCGGCAAACAACCCGGGACGGGCGGGTTGGAGTGGTTGACACCAGGGGTCTGATCCCACTGGCATCCCGTGAGGACATTCCACCTGACCCAGCGGCCATTCTGTGGGAAAAACAGGAGGGCCGTCAACAGAAATATGGGGGATATGATGACCTGCCCCCCGGGGAAAGGGGGGGGGGGGTGGTCAAATATTGGTCACTGTGTCCACATCGCCAGGGGCGGTGCTGTAACATTGTAAAGTGGGGGCCCCTAAACAGGGGATGTCAGCAATGGAAAATTGGTTGAACAAAATTTTTATAATAGGCCAATACACAATTGGTTTCTCAGATATTTATAGTAGCCAATCCACAATTGGTTTCATAAGGGGTCATTCATTTATGACGTCCACACGCGGGGGGGGGGGGGGTCCCAAAAAAGTGACTTTTGCGGACGCGTGTGGACTTATACAAGGAAAAAAAGTGGATTTTTTTTTGGGGGGGGGGGGGGTGTCAAAAATCCAAAAAAATTGTGGACGTCATAAATGGATTACCCCTAAAGATTTATAATAGGCCAATCCACAATTAAAGAGCCAACAAGAGCGATGTGTGTAATGGCGAGGCAGGCCTACACTCAGATGCTGAAGTTTGGAGGCTCTAGTGGCTTAAGTTGGCTGGCCCGTATCTAATCTGGCCCAGTGGTAGAGCAGGGTTTAAATCTTCTGTATGGGGCTGTAACGGCTCTCTAAGGAGATGAGCCAGGCAGTTGGAGAAGATTGGCTCATGAGCCGAGCAGTTGGGGAAGATTGGCTCATGAGCCAGGCAGTTTGAGAAATTTATTGGACAGCTTAGAGCTGGATATTGGAGCTGTGGAACAACTAGCACGTCTGTCTGTCTTTAATCTTCTGCTCACACTGACGTCAACTTTCTCACGCCGTGTCACCATTGAACCATGTCAACATTGAACCATGTCACCATTGAACCATGTCACCATTGAACCATGTCACCATTGAACCATGTCACCATTGAACCATGTCACCATTGAACCATGTCACCATTTTACCACATCGCAACTTTAAGATATCACAATCTAACGAAGTCACAAGTTGATCATTTAAACAGTCATCACTATTGAACCATGTCACCATTTAACAATATCACCATTTAACAATATCACCATTTAACAATATCACCATTTAACAATATCACCATTTAACAATATCACCATTTAACAATATCACCATTTAACAATATCACCATTTAACAATGTCACCACTTAACCAAGTCACCATGTCAGTACTAAGCCACGCACACCTAGTGTCACAACTTTGGAATGTACTAGATATCTGATGCATCTGGCACCGCCAATTTAAAAAAAATCAACCTCCACGATTTTCTTCCAGCGAAATCGTTTTCTTTGAATCTAAGATACACCTCCCCCCTCCCTCCTCACCAAAACGAGCGGCTACGCCCCTGGTGTATCGATGTTCCTTCAAACGGCGGGCAAGACAGACGTGATTAAAGAATGTCTCGCTTTGATGGTTTTTTCAATTGTCACTTCGCGCTTGATGCAACAACTCGCTGGGGAACCCCGGACCCTGTCACTCTGCTGTCCAGAGTCTGCTGGGCTGTCCCTAGTCTGCTCGGCTGCTAGCCGTCTGCTCGTCCAGCCCGCGCCACGCCCGCACAGCGCAACCCGCTACACCTACCGGCTGATGAATTGATTCTTACCGGAAGTGATGGGTTATTCGTAATGCACTGAAAACGTCAGATGCGCATGCGTTGATAATATTGACATTCCATCAGACGACTTAAAAGAAGGAAAGCCGTTGTGTTGTGGTTTTGTTTTCGATGGAACTCACTTGAGTGTCGTCTGCTGCGTGCTCTCGTGTGTGACTGGGGTAAGTTAGAACACAGCTCACCTCCAGTTAGGCTTTAGTCTACATGTAGTTTGTTAAGTTAGTTTTGACTTTGGTGTTAGAATACAACCCAGCTTTAGTCAATTTATAATTTGTTTTGACTGGGTTAACTTAGAACACAGCTCACCTCGAGTTAGGATTTAGTCTACACGTAGTTTGTTTTGACTGGGTTAAGTTAGAATACAGCCTAGCTAGACTTAGGCTTTAGTCTACACGTAGTTTGTTTACACTGGGGTAAGTTAGAATACAGCCCGGCTAGACTTAGGCATAAGTCAAGTTATAATTTGTTTTGACTGGTATAAGTTAGAGTACAGCTCAGCTAGACTTAGGCATAAGTCAACATGTAATTTGTTGCCATTAGAAAGTGTCAGTTTAGATCTTGTATAATTTATTTGATAGCCTGCCATTATGTTTTCACCAATTTTTCCCCGTTCGTGTATTCGATGTACTGGCACGAATTCAACTAATTCACCAGCTACTTGACTCCATGTTGTACTTTTCCTTACTTATAACTTTATCTTTAAAGTTTTCTCCATTCTGTTATAAGCTACTTTACAATTAGAGCGAAGTAATGTGTGCCTGACGGTATGGTCGTTAATTTGTAATGAGCCTGTTGGATGGCCCGCGGTTCTTTTGGCTGATGCTAAGAATGAGGAAGCTATCATGCATGACTGGTCACGTGGTCTTGTAAGAACATGTATTATATGCTGTTATACGGCCATTTAATATGTTCTTGTAAGAACCTGTATACGGTGTTATACGGCCATTTAATATGTTCTTGTAAGAACCTGTATATGCTGTTATACGGCCATTTAATATGTTCTTGTAAGAACCTGTATACGGTGTTATACGGCCATTTAATATGTTCTTGTAAGAACCTGTATATGCTGTTATACGGCCATTTAATATGTTCTTGTAAGAACCTGTATACGGTGTTATACGGCCATTTAATATGTTCTTGTAAGAACCCGTATTATGCTGACATAAATATGTTCTTGTAAGAATCCGTATTATGCTAACAAGTAACATTTGATAAACCAGTATATCGATATTTCATTTTTGTACAACCACCACCCCCCCCCCCATGTGTTAAGACTTTTTGATAGTTTTTTTCTTCGCTCACCCCCTCTCCCACCCATGTATTGCCGGTCAGCGTCTTGTCCTGCTTCACGTGTGGCTTACCTGACGCTTACTTTACCTGACGCTTACTTTACCTGACGCTTACATTACCTGACCGCTTACCTTACCTGGCCGCTTACCTTACATGGACGCTTACCTTACCTGACCGCTTACCTTACCTGACGCTTACCATACCTGAACGCTTACCTTACCTGACCGCTTACCTTACCTGAACGCTTACCATACCTGACCGCTTACCTTACCTGAACGCTTACCTTACCTGAACGCTTACCTTACCTGACCGCTTACCTTACCTGAACGCTTACCATACCTGACCGCTTACCTTACCTGACGTTTACCTTACCTGACCGCTTACCTTACCTGACCGCTTACCTTACCTGACGCTTACCTTACCTGAACGCTACCTTACCTGAACGCTTACCTAACGCTTACCTTACCTGAACGCTTACCATACCTGACCGCTTACCTTACCTGACCGCTTACCTGACCGCTTACCTTACCTGGCCGCTTACCTTACCTGAACGCTTACCTTACCTAACCGCTTACCTGACCGCTTACCTTACCTGAACGCTTACCTTACCTGACCGCTTACCTTACCTGAACGCTTACCATACCTGAACGCTTACCATACCTGAACGCTTACCATACCTGAACGCTTACCTTACCTGACCGCTTAACTTACCTGAAGGCTTACCATACCTGACCTCTTACCTACCCCAACGCTTACCTCACCGAATGTTCGCCCACCTGACTATCCCACCTGTTGACCAGTCTGTACATCACGTGACTGCACGTGCTACCCGCAGCTCAGCACGTGTTGCCGTTAGACCAATGACTCACCGACTGTTCAAAAATTAACTTTAAAATTTGCATTTTTTTTGTGCTTGACTGAACAGGCATTATTTGACACACATCTGAGAGAAACAATTAATTAACGACCGTTAGATTATGGAAATAATATTAATTTAACCCCAGTCACGGCTCATTAGGCAGTGTGACTAATTAACACTGCTAATTAAAGGGCCACAGTTGAACCCGCCGAGCTAGATACAAAATATGTTATGTCCAGGGGTCCCCACTCCAGCCCCCCCCCCACACACACACACACTGAGCCATGTATAAAACGTGTAGTAATGTCCAGCGGTCCCCTTGTTTATCTCGTGTACCCTGATAATTAGGATTTCATGTTTACCCTACCCCCCCCCCCCCCCCATTTCTCATTCCACAAGATCCCCCAACAAAAAGTTTACGGGCAATATTTTTTAGACCACGTGATCCAGTAATTCTCATTAGCCTAATGATATTGATAGGCTTTATTTTTATTTTTTACACCGCAATTTATTTCAATTTGTCTTAATATCAGCCTGCCGCTTCCATAAAAACAACATTGAAATAATTCTAACTGCATTAACATACGGGTTTTATTTTAAATCTTCATTGTTAACATGTTCTGAAACCACAATTTCAAATGTCCTCAATCCTAAGATATTTTGTTCCAATGTTCTTGATGCTAAGATATTTTGTTCCAATGTTACCAATCCTAAGATATTTTGTTCCAATGTTCCAAATCCTAAGATATTTTGTTTCAATGTTCCCAATCCTAAGATATTTTGTTTCAATGTTCCCAATCCTAAGATATTTTGTTCCAATGTTCTTGATGCTAAGATATTTTGTTTCAATGTTCCCAATCCTAAGATATTTTGTTTCAATGTTCCCAATCCTAAGATATTTTGTTTCAATGTTCCCAATCCTAAGATATTTTGTTTCAATGTTCCCAATCCTAAGATATTTTGTTCCAATGTCCTTGATGCTAAGATATTTTAAAACCACGTAGACTTCCCCCCCCCCCACGAACTTTGAATGTCTGCATCCCCACGCACTCAGGAGACTCACCATTTATGCATGATCACGTCCTAACCCCCCTCCCCTCCCCCCTCCCCCCCCCCCAACTTACGATCCCTGCCTAGTCGTGTGTCGTAGCCATTCTGTGCACTGGGCCGTGCTGCCACCCAACAAAACACACCCTCCATCGATCCAGCGTTTCAAACTGTCCTCAACTGCCCTGGTTTCGACCAAAACAAAACCAATTCTAGGATAAAACTGCCTGTAGACCCCGCTGACCGTTAGGATGACCCCACGCCACGTGCCTGTACTGTCCCTCGTCACGTGATTAGATGAGACGCCATGACGGTCTGTGTCCCCAAAGTCGCGCCATTTTAACCGTCAGCCTCTGGTGCCTAAAGAAGTTACCTGTGCCAGCCCCTGGGTCCATTTATTCAGCATTTCATCAATGTTTGAGTGGGGGGGGGGGTGGCGTCTGCAGCGGAGAACCTGCCATTAGCAGACGATCTGACAGCAGAATTCATTGGCCCTTTCATTCCGGCACTAGCCATTACTTATTCACGAGCTCTGAATCAGCACCAGCAGTGCACTATTGGACGGTCGGTATCAGCGAGCAGCCGGCAGACCGGCCGGGATCGACAAGCAGCCGGCAGACCGGTCGGGATCAGCAACCAGCCGGCAGACCGGTCGGGATCGACAAGCAGACGGCAGACCGGTCGGGATCAGCAACCAGCCGGCAGACCGGTCGGGATCAGCAACCAGCCGGCAAACCAGTCGGGATCAGTAAGCAGCCGGCAGACCGGCCAGGATCGACAAGCATCCGGCAGACCGGCCCGGATCGACAAGCAGCCGGCAGACCGGTCGGGATCAGTAAGCAGCCGGCAGACCGGTCGGGATCAGTAAGCAGCCGGCAGATTGGTCAGAAAATCATCTGAAAAGTCTGTAACCTGCCGGTGTTGACGCCCAGAGGTGTCCACAAGGGACAACCACCAAAATCACAACCACAAACAGCACCACCATCACTGTATTACCAACTTTTGTTCTGGCGCAGTCCACCCCACCCCATCTACCTCCCCGCTCCCCCACCCCCCGCTAGCACCTGCATCAAGTGCATGAAATATTAAAGAGCCGAGTTTTATTTACTCAGCGCCAGATGAAGACAATAAATCTACGACGGCCCCACAAAAACCCCACCCTAAATCTCCTCCCAGCGCTCGACGGATTGTTCTTCTAGAAAATTCCTTTTATTTAGAGCCGCCATTAGCTCACAAATCCGCAATTACTGAAATATCAGCAGAGGATGGGGTACAATATTGATCATGTTCTAAAATCTTCAGGTTTTTAGCTCTTCTGATAAAACGCGAGGCTTTGTCTTCTTCCTCCCGCCTCAAGTATTGGAATCTTTTTTCTACTCCCGCTAAAAACGGGCTGTCGTGCTAAAAAGTAATTTTGCAACCAAAGAACGCGAGGTGAATATCTCGCGCCATGGGCTGCTACACGGCTTTATTGCCTGCTGGCGAGCTGTGTGCTTTTTATGCTGGGCAGATTGGCATGGGAATCAACGCTTGTTCGCAGGATCAAACCCAGCTTAGACCGAGGCGACGAGAGAGAGGAAAAAGTCTTTTATTAAATAAAAAATAGAAATTGAAAATTGTGCGTGTGTTTATGATGGTCAATAAAAGCCAAAGCAGGTTTTTGTAAATACAGAAAGTAAACGTTAGTGTCAGTCGCCTTGGTCCCCACTGACCTTTTGACTTTTGTTGGTCCATAAATGACCTTTTGACTTTTAGTGGTCAAAAACCTGATATAGCATGAGTGGCACAAACATGTGATCACCGGTGACAGTACAGAGCCATGTGTGACGTCTTTGTCTTGTGTGTCTTTATGGTCTGGTCTGTCTTCAACTCGTGTGTCTTCATCTCTTGTGTCTTCAACTAGTGTGTCTTCAACTCGTATGTCTTCAACTCGTATGTCTTCAACTCGTATGTCTTCAACTCGTG